CAAAAGAAGCATTTAATTCTGTGGGGGAAAGAGAATAATACATGATTTTCTTTTTAAACTGTAAACTGGCCCCACAAAAATCCCCAGAAACAGTTTTGAAGAAGAAGGAAAGAAAGGCATCAGAAGATGCAGATATATCCCAGATTGCTTTGCACGTAGAGCTCTCCTCACAAAGCATTATGGGATTTTCTGTCACAGCGGCGACTACTAACAAAGATGGCGCAGTGATCATCTCTCTGAACAGTAAGGTACTGTAACTGAGTTCACTATAAAGTCCGCTATAGTCCCCATTCTATATAGTGATGGAGGGTTTTAGGGGTTAGAGAGAATGTTCGGGCACAGTAAGCTTGTATGAGCTATGAGAACAGCAACTTTTAAGCAGAGCGTGCAAGAGGAGAAATGGGCTCATGCATGCTCTAGCATTTGCATTTCTTAAAGTGGAAAGGCGGGCCTTGTAAAAAAATTTGCCAAAGTCCTCCACAATACCTTTAAGGGGTTAAAAGTTTTACAAACCAGAAATATGGAAGAAGGTTTAACAATGGCATTCCTCTTCTTCATCCTGTTACCCCAAAATTATATCAAATCAATTCCGTTGAAAAGATCGGTTCATCTGTTCTGACATAAATAGGGAGACCGTCAGCATGATGCTGCCACCAACATGTTTCACTATGGGGGTTTTTAAGTGTTGTGTAGCGACTTGCATGTAGCCCAAAAAATATATGCAAAATCTGGTCTTATCTGACCTTTCCAAAAAAGGAAGCAGTGTGCTAAGAAATAAAAAAGTGCAGTTGAGGAGCAGAAACCCATTTTTCAATATAGATGTTCCTGTGATTAATGACTAATCAGCTGTTTTTTATTTATAAAACTAAACACCTGAAACTTATTTAGCTTCTATCATGAAATAGTAGATCCCTAAATTTTAAGAGTCTAGGATTTTCCATATGCCGGTATACATGTAACAATGATGTTGTTATAATATCTAAAAAGAAAGTGAAAATCAGTCTGATTCCACTAACATAATCTTAAGTTTGGTGCCACAGGTTTTGCATTAACTTCAAGAAGCATAATTGCAATTCCCCCTATCTATGGGCCATTTACCAGCTGAGCCTTGATAGGAAGATGAGCAGGAGAGCTGAGGTGCATGGGCTTGGATGGAGTGTTTTAAGAACACTTTAACAACATAGGGAGAGCTTTTTGGCTGCCCCAGGGATGTAAAGGTTGCTTCTGAGGATTTATTCCAGCAATAAAAGTTAAGGTCACAGTGTTGTAGCCTTTAATATTAATGTGCTATTTAACGACCCACACCATGGCAGAAACTAAGTTTTCAGTAGTGCTAAAATATAGCTCTAGGCAGTCATTTTGCTATTTATGGAGATGATCACCACTGGTGCCTAAGAGAGCTACCCCCCTTAGTCAAATATGTTTTTTTTGTGGTAAAATTTATGAATTGAAGTTTTCTAAAGTAAAGGAATAAAAGAAATTTACCATCTCACATACACTTGAATGCCAACCCTTAAGTTATTTATGATTCATTATTTATAAGAATGGCTGCTCCTGTCTTAGAAATTTTGGATTAACTTGGATCCTAAGCTTTCAATTCAATTCAGTTTATTTATATAGTGCCAATTCACAACACATGTCATCTAAAGGCACTTCACAAAGATAATTCAACCAGAACATACAGTCAAATTGATTCAAAGTTTTCTAAGGAAAACCAGCTGATTGCATCGCATCATTGAATTGAAGGCAATCCCTCAAACTAAGCATGCTTATAGCACCAGTGGAGAGGAAAAACTCCCTTTTAACAGGAATAAACTTCCAGCAGAATAGACTCAGAGTGAGCGTTCATCTCTGTACTGTAGATGTAGTTTTTCCTTAATTAGACTCAGAGACTTAGACAGATTTTATTTTGTATACTCAAGTGTAAACAAAAATATATATATTTTTTTTAGAACAGCTCCCTAGACTATTTCATTTTTGAAAGTGCAGCCTTGAGAAGGTAAGCAGCAGTGATAAAAATAACATTGTGATGAAAAACATATGACTGTATAGTTACAGTTCTAACATTCAGTTGTAGTTTTTTTATAACCCATTTTATATAACTTTCAGCAGTCTAATGGCAGTGGGGTAGAAACTGTTCTGGAATCTGCATCGGATGCTTCGAAGTCTCTTCCCAGAGGGCAGTAGGGAGAACAGTCCACCGTGGGGGTGTGAGGGGTCATTTATGATATTACGGGCTCGGGACATGCAGCGCTGGGATGAAATGTCTTTAATGGAGGAGCCCCGATGATCTTCTCCGCTGTTCTTAGAACTCTTCTCACTTTCTTCCAATCTAAGGCGCTGCAGCCTCCAGGTGCGCCAGGCTCAGGTAAAAAGCAGCAGAGATGGACTGGAACGAGTCGAATGTTGGTGGCAGACTGGAGACAATGTGTTCTTTAACCAGCCTTTCGAAGCACCTCATCATGATTGGAGTCAGTGCAACAGGCCGGTAGTCATTGAATGAGTTGACCTGAGTCTTCTTTGGGACTGGAATAATGGTGGCAGACTTGCAGCATTCTGGCACTACAGATGGGTCCATCGAGATGTTAAAAATGTCTGTGTGTACACGAGTCAGCTGATCTGCACATTCCTTGTACACCCGCCCAGGTATGTTATCAGGCCCTGAGGCCTTCCTTGGGTTGATGTTGATGTTAGAGTAAAACAAGGAAAAATGTATGAAATTTATATAAAAATAAGTAATTACAAAATTTTTTTAAAAATTTAAGAATAAAAAAATAAAAATTTCCCCAAATCATACGTGGAGCTTTAGCAATATTGGTAAATTGGTGGTCAGTAACTTACACTCCACAAACTCATAAAAAGATCATACAAAAATAAAAGGCCCTCATTACATATCTCCTTTTTTGAAGTGAGTTTCTGCGGTATTTGGGGGTCCCTCTTTAGCTTCGCAGTTAGCTCCCCTCTCTGTTTTCTTGACATCCACCCGTAGCACTCTGCAGCTTTTCAAATGGTCAAAAATGTCTGTATTTAAAACATTTTGTGACCGTAGCTCCAGCAGGCGTGGGCGATCATAGATGTGTGTTTGAAGTCTAGTTCGTGTTGTTTTAAGCGGCATATTTCGTGAAATTGTTGAGAGGAGCGGTTCTTGGCCACTGCCTTGGAGTGCCAAGATGGTAGCAAGAATGGGTTCTAGGTTGGACTGGGATCTGATGAAATATTTTAAATGTAGAGTTTTCATTTCCCAGTTCACCAGTCAATAGTTTATAGCACACTGTTTATAAAATTTGGTCTGTTAAGATTTTAGCATTACCTTTCAAAACTGTTTAATGTCCTTCTTCAGTATAGCATTCCTACAGTTTCCCTTCAATGAGATGCAAAGTTATAGAGTTTTCACTGGCTGTATGTAGCACGGACTAATTTAGCACGGCCCCTCCGCCACCTGTTGCTATGTTCTGCTTCTCCAATGGCTGGAAGAAGAGGGTGACTACAGCTTTTCCTTACTTTTGAGTAATTCAAACATAGCTGTTTAGAAGCATTTCAGGTCACAGACTACAAGGAAAATTATGGCAAAAAAAGTGTTTACCAAAAGAGGAATGTCTTTTTTTGTGTGTGTGTTAATAGCTTTTAAATTTATTGTGTGTTTTTTTGCCATCATATTTTGTCTTAAAAACAATAAAAGTATAGCAAAAATGTTTGCTGTAGAAGAACATCAAGGAACATTTGGTTGCATCTCTTTTTAAAACCCCAAAAAGAGAACTAATAGTTAGAATAATAAGTGTATTTGTACTTGATTTAGTTATAATTAAGCAAGTAAATTATCAATGCAATTAGAAACTTGTATTTTGAATTGAAAAAAAAAAAACAGATTTAAATTCTTGTTTCAACTGCAGTAAATATAAATATCCTACACTGTAAAAAAAAAAACGGCCTCATTTTACGGTAAAAAACTGGCAGCTGAGTTGCCAGAAGTTTACCGTCTTTATACGGTAAAATTCTGGCAACCAAAACTGCCAGTTTTTTACCGTATTTCTAAAATACGGTAAAATTCTGGCAACCAAAGCTGCCAGTTTTTTACCGTATTTCTAAAATACGGTAAAATTCTGGCAACCACAGCTGCCAGTTTTTTACCGTATTTGCTAAATGCAGGATTTTACCGTATTTTTAAATACGGTAAAATTCTGGCAACCACAGCTGCCAGTTTTTTACCGTATTTGCTAAGTGCAGGATTTCACCGTATTTTTAAAATACGGTAAAATTCTGGCAACCACAGCTGCCAGTTTTTTACCGTATTTGCTAAATGCAGGATTTTACCGTATTTTTAATATACGGTAAAATTCTGGCAACCACAGCTGCCAGTTTTTTACCGTATTTGCTAAATGCAGGATTTTACCGTATTTTTAAAATACGGTAAAATTCTGGCAACCACAGCTGCCAGTTTTTTACCGTATTTGCTAAATGCAGGATTTTACCGTATTTTTAAAATACGGTAAAATTCTGGCAACCACAGCTGCCAGTTTTTTTACCGTATTTGCTAAATGCAGGATTTTACCGTATTTTTAATATACGGTAAAATTCTGGCAACCACAGCTGCCAGTTTATTACCGTATTTGCTAAATGCAGGATTTTACCGTATTTTTAATATACGGTAAAATTCTGGCAACCACAGCTGCCAGTTTTTTACCGTATTTGCTAAATGCAGGATTTTACCGTATTTTTAATATACGGTAAAATTCTGGCAACCACAGCTGCCAGTTTATTACCGTATTTTGTAAATGCAGGATTCTACCGTATTTTTAAAATACGGTAAAATACCGTACTTCCTAAAATATTTAAAAAAAAATAAAATGTGGTTTTGCCGTAGTAAATACGGTCATGCTGACTGAGGCATAATATCTCCATGAGTGAAAAACACATCCAGACTGGATGATATATTGACATTTTATTGTAAACCCTACCCCCCAAAAAAAACTTATGGTAAATTACTGGTCTCTAGTCCTACCAGAATTTTACCATACAAATTATAGTACAACACACAAGGAAGTGTAACTTGTCAAGCATTTCTATACAGAAAGTTATAAAGAAAATAATTTCTAATTAAACAAAAATACAGATTACGAGTAATCCACTTAAAGAAACAATTTCTATTTAAAAAGTCAAGTTAAAAAAAGAACTGATTCTATTTTCTGTCCAGTTTCCTCACGGTATTACTGAGATCTGGAAAACAGAAACAAAACAAACAGTATGTGTCCACATAAGAGATAACATATTGTAGAAGACAAAATGGTGATAAAAGGATTCTTGTTCTGGGTTGAGAGTCACAAGTCGCTGAGATCAGACGTTGCTCAGGATGGTTGTAGTCTTCCCAGTCACAGGTTGAAATTGAGACTCGCATGTTGTCAATCGGGTGTTTCCTCTCTGCTGGAAAACAAAAAGAAAAAGTTAGAAAGATGCACTACATGAACATCTTATTCGCTTAAATGTTTGTTTCACCTTTGTTGACTTGCATATGGACACAGGTACTTCAACCAGGTGGTGCGATCATTTCTGACTGAAAATTCAGTAGTTAAACCTTTGTTTGTTGTCAACAGGTGTGATCCTCTGGTCTGCAACCAGACAAAATACACAAGCAAAAAACAAATAAAAACAAATATAACTGTTTTAGGCAATTTAAGAAATAGATACTCACCATTTATCTGAGTCTCATGAAGGCCAATAGGTTGTCTTCAACCATTTATGTAAGTTACATTTCCTGCAAGCTAGCAGAAACAAAGCTGTAAATGTGAACACTTTTCATACAGGCAAACAAATTGATACAGCTGAGACAATTTATGCTAGGTTAGTTTTTCTCAGTCACTTTTGGTGCATTTCTCAAGTCATTGTTGGCATTTACAAAACAGTAAGCGCATTTCTCAAAACAATTTGTAGAAACAGGAAAAATAGCATTTGTTTGCTTTCAAAATCCTTAGTTCAGCTCTTAAAATTCTGTCTGTTAACATATCAGTGACTCAAAATAATAAGTTATAGTCTCTCTATGTACAGATAAGACAGTCAAATTGATTAGTCATGAGAAGAGACTACAAAAGGATCATTTACGCCAGTGTTTCTCAACCCTGCTCCTCACCACCCCCTGCTCTGCATGTTTTAGATGTGCTTCTACTCCAGAACAGCTGATTCAAATGATTGGATGACAATCAAGTACTGCAGAAGCTTGTTAATCATCCAGAGATACAATTCAGGTGTGTGGCAGAAGGGAAATACCTAAGCCTGCAGGACAGGGTGACGCTGAAGACCAGGATTGAGAAACACGCTTTTGCTATAATTTATTCATGGACCATGCCTTGGTGATTCAGAAAGAAAAAGACAGAAATGCAGAGAACAAAAAAAGTAGAAAAGGAGCCACAGGACAATCTCCTCAAGGAAAACTGTACAGTGCTTTAGAAATTACATTACATTTTAATTTCCATAGTCACTTTGTTCCTTAACTCCACTGAGGATCTTTTTTCCTCAGTGGGGTTAAGGAATGAACAGTAGGGTGGGAGGACCTCCATCAGCGTCATGTTGTGGGTCTCAGCCATGTCCTGATGTTGGACTGATGGAAACTGGCAGATGTCCTCAGCCTCTTCTGACTCTTCTTCTGCTTTCCTCCTCAGCCTCACTTCTCTTCTTCTCTCTGGCTGTTCACTCTGTCCAGATACTTGTTCATCAGTTCTCAGACATGTAACATTGTGTTGTGTTCTGACTATATAGAGCATAATATTGCCAACTGATGGTTCACAAGATGCACCTCCAATCTGTTTCAGAAAACTGGTTGATTGTTGGTTGAGCTAATGGTTCATACACTGACCTGTTAGAGAAACTCAGGACTCACTTGGGAGCAATTTACCAATTCAGGACAGATTTAGAAAATAATAGAATATAAATTAATTAATATATGATTCACATTATGACAACTTTAAGACTTATGCATGTTAAGACTTACACAATGAACTGGTGCTATTTTGGAAGTTGAGAATTCAACACAGACACGTTGTTGTCCTGTTGTCCTCATTTTCTGTATACACCCTTTATCCTCCGGGTCAAAATGACCCGTCTTCACTAAACCCCCAATATAAGCAGCTTAATTGAATTTTAAACACCAAATTCTATCTTGTATATTGTCACTCACCACAAAATGTGTGAATACTTGAGTTTTCCCTCTCCACTTGAATTTCTATAGCTTAAGAAAAAAAATGTGCAAAATGAGTTTCGAATGCATTTTTATTCATCACAGTGACTAATTTTCTTTTACTTTTCTCCAGTGAACAAGAGGATGTACAATACAAAAATATGAAAAATAACATAACCCATTCAACTAATTGGCACATGTAGGGCAGTATGCAAGTGCACAGTCTTTGCAGATATATTTCTTACACCTGCAGCACACAGTATGTGTTTTACAGTCTGAGGGCAGAACTGACATCTCTTCCTCTTACTTGGCTTAGCTGGGGAAGTGGCTGTGGTAGATGGATCCTCAGGTTGATCAGGAGCTGCTGCACTCTGAATAGCTTTCACAACTGCTTCTGAGGCTTCTGTGCGGGGGACATGCTTCCTTCTTTCAATGAGTGGAGTTACAAGTGCCTTTCCTAGCTGCTCCAGGAACACCCTCCTCTTGTTGTGCTTATGAGACATCCAGGTTGGGTTGATCTCTATCCAAATCACAAAGGCATTGTAGGAGGACACATCAATGATGTTGTGGAAGATGACCAGGGGCCAGCGGGCAGTCATTCTTCTGCAGCTATATGCTCCAATCACCTTATCTAGGTTGTCCACACCTCCTTTGTTTCGGTTGAATTCCAGGATAATGATTGGCTTCCTGTCCTCACGGTCACTAGTGTCGCCGTCTTTGTGCAGTGTGCTCAGAAGAACTACATTCTTGTTTTTCTTTGGGAGGTAGGAAACTAGAGTGGTGGTGGGTGTGAAGGCAAACTTTGAGGAGAAGACCTCTCTCTCCTTTGACCCAAGCAGTGCAGGTGGGAGCTCAGGCTTGTTCTTTCGAACTGTACCAACCATGGTGATCTTCCACTTCAGGAGCTGCTGTCCGAGTTCATAAGAGTTGAAGAAATTGTCACATGTCACATTGTGACCCCTCAGTCCCTCTGTCACATCAAGCACAACTCGCAACCCCTGGTTCTTCTTGGGACCCCACTGGTTATTTCCCCCATATAGACTTGCTTTTTTCCAAGCATAGTTGATTCGGAACCCAAACCCATGACTTGATCCCAATTTTGCGGGGCTTGGGGGCATATATCTAAAGGGACAACAACCTTTGGACAAAAGACTTACATCATGATTAGTTCAGGTCACAAAAAACAGTCAAAAAAATCAATAGTGAAAACACTTTTATTACAAATATGAAACAGATTACCTCAAAGGGGAACCATTTTGCTCATCCACTTTTACTCAGGCTCTGGATTTAGGGTAGGGTAACCGCCCCACCCACTTGTCCCTACCCCCTTTATGGCTGCAATTGTCTGTATCATTTTGCTGGTCTTGATTCACGGTATAAAATGATCTCTTGAAGGTAGAAAGAGTTTGAGGGTTTTGGGCTGGGAAAATTTGGGCCCCTTCCACTCTCTGCTTATTCTGCTACTGTTTGATCTAACCAACAAAATTTTGTAACTTTTTATTTTGTAAAAAACTCTGTGCCCTTGATTTCAACTCCTTTTGCCTCCGGCATTTTGCCCGAAGACCATCTTTGTCCCTTTTTTGTAAGTTACATGGAAATGAGACTAAAAGAAACACTGAACTTTTCTATTGTCGGGGCCCAGGGTCTGCAACCCCGCGGTCCAGAGCCCAAAATGGCTCTTTGGACCCTCCCGTGGGCCCTAATAGACTAAAATTTATAAAAAGGTAAAAAAAATTTACTATAAAATTACCATATCAAAACTTTTGCTTTTTTAAAGAGGAAAAGAATGAATTAAAAGAACCAGAAAAATGTTTTTGGGTACATTTTTTCTAAATTAGCTTGAAAAGAATTTTTAACATTAAAAATCATGTTTGTTGATGTTTGAGATGGCACAACAAAAATTTTCCCATCAAAATTTAAAAAAAAAAGGTTTTCTAGAAAAAGTCATGTTATATTTTGCGGCTCTAAACAACTTTTACTTTGTCGAACTCTGGGCAAAACGGCTCTTTGGATATGAAAGGTTGCAGACCCCTGGTCTGGGCCAATCTAGGAAAAGTCTTAAAATCTCAAGTTAAAAAAATTACATTTAGGGGATTTTGGGGGGGGGGGTTAACACAGTGGCGGGTCATTTTGACCCGAGGACAACAGGAGGGTTAACATATTTTGATCAAGACGATAAAAGCAAATTACAATTATAAAAGCATAGAAGTGTACATAACCAGCTACATGATGTACAAAAGCAAAACTTGCAAAACTAATTTTTTGATGTGCAGAAGTGACACAGTAATTTGAAGATTGAACAGGTAGTTTTAGGAATTTCAATTCTGTTCTGAGAGATGCACCCAAACTGAGAAAAGCTGTAAAATATTAATATTTAAATTCTCTTATTTTAAAATCCTTCAACTGTCATGGACCCAGTGACTTTAGTGCAAGTATTTTGGGGGTGAGAGTCAAGACGTCAAAGGAAAATATTAAATAATATCTCTGATGCCAAGCTTTATACTTCTAAGTATTACCAAAGTATTGAAACAAAAGCTAACATGTTCTTCAGAGATTTAACTTGCATGCATGAACATTTCACACTCAAAGTAATTCAAATTAATTATTGAACCAAACTTGGAAAAAGTTGCTTCTGCCATTAACAATAACTTTAAGCACATGTAGTCTAAAGTAGAACAGAAATATAATCTATGCAGCCGTTCCTACAGAAACATTAATGGAAGTGTTGCATCTGTGAAGATTAAATGTTCCGTATAGTAAAAATATATAGCTGCAGTGCATATACATAAACAGCATGGCTCAGAAACTACACATTTCTTTGTCAGTTGGTTAAAGTTAGCTAACTTCAGTTAAAACCGTGAAAGGGACTCACCTGTGATGTGTTGCCCTTCTCCTCCTGAACGTGCAAAAATAGCAGAAATTTGATTTCAAAGACAGTAGCAGCATCTTGACAAGGACCAGGCCTACTGGGCTCTCAGCACCCTAGTTAGCAACCTTAGTTAGCACAGTGACTTTACTGTGTTGAGTTCAGGACACCACTACAGGAACAGAGTTAAAAGAATCTTGCTGCTGATGCTGAAGGATCAAGCAGCAATGCAAACTAGATAATTATTTGTTTACATGACAAATAACAGTCTCCATTTACTGTAAACCCTGCTATTTATCACAATAACAAAATGAAAAACTCTCTAGACAAGGGGTCCCAAACTACAGCCTGTGTCATTTGGTCTGGCAATGCTGGATCCGGCCTGCCTCCTCATACCAGAGAGCATTCAGTGCATTTTTTTCATATATTGTATTTTCTGGTTTGTGGATTTTTCTTCAACCACCAGGGGGCTCTTGAGCAGATAAACGAACTTTCCCTCAAATATATACTGGTCAGTCCCAGTCACCGTTTCACTCACGGTTTTTTCCATTTCCATTCTGGGTAAAAATCTATCTAAAAGCGACCGCAAACGTGTCGTAGTCGGCAATACCCCCCCCCCCTCGACAGTTTCAAAGACAGAACAGCACCCCCCCCCCGCCGACAATAAGTTTCTAAGGTATCTTTCTCCAAAAACTAAGACCGGCCCCCAAGCAGAGAAAGGAACAGCTATGTGGCCCTCGCAGGAAAAAGTTTGGGGACCCCTGCTCTAGACTATTCTCTACTAATAGCACAATATTTAAAACCTAATGTGGGGTTTGTGAAACTTCAATGATGGGTGACTTGACAACTTGTATGATTTTGGATAACACTACAATTGTTCTTTATTGAAGTTTCACAAATCAGATAAAGGTTTTACAAACCCCACACTTGGTTTTAAATATTCTGATATGAGTTGAGAATAATCTAGTCCAGATTTGAAGAGTCTAGGTGTTGTAGTTTTTTAGCTAGAGTAAATTAAAGATGCTGATTGTAGTGAAAAAATAGGTGGAATTGCCCTTTAGCCATTTCCCAAATTGGAAGCAGCAATTGGAAACCAACTTCAGCTTCATTCAAGCAAGAGGGGCTAACATACAGTTCTCTTAATGTTAATGATCAAATACTCTCATAAGTGATGGTGGCGTTGGCTGTAGGAGTTTGCTTTGCAATCGGTGGATTGCCAGATCGATGCCTGGTCTACTGCTGAGATTTCAGTTTGGTGTATTAAAGGCATTATTAAAAAAGAAACCAGAATATCACACCAGCATTCTGTTCTTTGTAAAAAATTCTTTTGCAGTCTTGTTTACGCTTTTACATTGTAGATCTAAACATCAGCAAAATTTGTAATTTTGGCTGATTGCTACTGTTAAGTTTAGGGTAATTAACTGCTGGCAATATTACAATTTTTTAAGAACTTTACAATTACTTATATTTTTACACTATATTTCTGTATTTTCTACATTCGTGACTGTCACAATTATTTAGGATATATATTTATTCAGTTATGATAATGCCATGTATTTTCTACGGCAGTATAATGCTGTGAATATTCTGGTCAGTAACTGCTGGCATTTTACAATTTTTTACCGTAAATTTACTGACTTTCTTTGCAGTTTCGACTTACAGTAGTTCCATGTAATTTCTACGGTAATGCAATGTTTTTGGATACGACGGTCAAAAACTGTTGGTCTTTTACCTTTTTTTACCGTAAATTTACTGACTTTCTTTGCAGTTTCGACTTACGGTAGTTCCATGTAATTTCTACGGTAATGCAATGTTTTTGGATACGACGGTCAAAAACTGTTGGTCTTTTACCATTTCTTACCGTAAATTTACTGACTTTCTTTGCAGTTTCGACTTACGGTAGTTCCATGTAATTTCTACGGTAATGCAACGTTTTTGGATACGACGGTCAAAAACTGTTGGTCTTTTACCATTTCTTACCGTAAATTTACTGACTTTCTTTGCAGTTTCGACTTACGGTAGTTCCATGTAATTTCTACGGTAATGCAATGTTTTTGGATACGACGGTCAAAAACTGTTGGTCTTTTACCATTTCTTACCGTAAATTTACTGACTTTCTTTGCAGTTTCGACTTACGGTAGTTCCATGTAATTCTACGGTAATGCAACGTTTTTGGGTACGACGGTCAAACACTGTTGGTCTTTTACCATTTCTTACCGTAAATTTACTGACTTTCTTTGCAGTTTCGACTTACGGTAGTTCCATGTAATTCTACGGTAATGCAACGTTTTTGGGTACGACGGTCAAAAACTGTTGGTCTTTTACCATTTCTTACCGTAAATTTACTGACTTTCTTTGCAGTTTCGACTTACGGTAGTTCCATGTAATTTCTACGGTAATGCAATGTTTTTGGATACGACGGTCAAAAACTGTTGGTCTTTTACCATTTCTTACCGTAAATTTACTGACTTTCTTTGCAGTTTCGACTTACGGTAGTTCCATGTAATTTCTACGGTAATGCAATGTTTTTGGATACGACGGTCAAAAACTGTTGGTCTTTTACCATTTCTTACCGTAAATTTACTGACTTTCTTTGCAGTTTCGACTTACGGTAGTTCCATGTAATTCTACGGTAATGCAACGTTTTTGGGTACGACGGTCAAAAACTGTTGGTCTTTTACCATTTCTTACCGTAAATTTACTGACTTTCTTTGCAGTTTCGACTTACGGTAGTTCCATGTAATTCTACGGTAATGCAACGTTTTTGGGTACGACGGTCAAAAACTGTTGGTCTTTTACCATTTCTTACCGTAAATTTACTGACTTTCTTTGCAGTTTCGACTTACGGTAGTTCCATGTAATTTCTACGGTAATGCAATGTTTTTGGATACGACGGTCAAAAACTGTTGGTCTTTTACCATTTCTTACCGTAAATTTACTGACTTTCTTTGCAGTTTCGACTTACGGTAGTTCCATGTAATTTCTACGGTAATGCAATGTTTTTGGATACGACGGTCAAAAACTGTTGGTCTTTTACCATTTCTTACCGTAAATTTACTGACTTTCTTTGCAGTTTCGACTTACGGTAGTTCCATGTAATTTCTACGGTAATGCAATGTTTTTGGATACGATGGTCAAAAACTGTTGGTCTTTTACCATTTCTTACCGTAAATTTACTGACTTTCTTTGCAGTTTCGACTTACGGTAGTTCCATGTAATTCTACGGTAATGCAACGTTTTTGGGTACGACGGTCAAAAACTGTTGGTCTTTTACCATTTCTTACCGTAAATTTACTGACTTTCTTTGCAGTTTCGACTTACGGTAGTTCCATGTAATTTCTACGGTAATGCAATGTTTTTGGATACGACGGTCAAAAACTGTTGGTTTTTTACCTTTTTTTACCGTAAATTTACTGACTTTTTTTACAGTGTATATTAGGGGCAAACATTGATAATAATTATTCCATTGGAAGACAAATAGTTACCTAACCTGCTAATTTTTATGTAATTTTGGTAGTGCAGTTATATCATGGAATATATTTTTGCTTTAAATATTTGTATTAAAAAGGTAATTCTCTGAGTATGTAAACTTGGGTAAGCTTACCCAAGTTTACATACTTGGGTAAGCTTACCTAGAAGAGTAAGGAACTGCTGATATTTTTTTTGATACAATTTAGTTTTGTTTCACACGTTAGTTTTATATTAATGATTTCTAAAAGAAAGACATTCAAATACTGACACAAAAATAAGTCTCATTCTTACTTCTGTATATATATATATATATATATATATATATATATATATGTGTGTGTGTGTGTGTATTTCTTTCATATATAGTTCATAGCTTTTGCATAACTTTTTTTAGTTTACAAGACAAAATAGTTTTTTTTTTTTTAACTACTCTTGATCTAAAAAGCGGTAAATGCCAAAAACCCTAGTAAAAGTGTAACCAAGCAGAGTCAAGTCTGGTACGAGTGGAGGGGGTAAAGTTAGGGTGTGGTCGTCAGAAGTGACCTTAGGGCCGAATACGAACCACAGAGAAACTTGAATGTTCCCAAAAGGAAACTGATATGCTATCACTGCAGAGATTAAATCACTTTGATTTTTCAGTTTCAAATTCAAAGGTAAATTGAAATCCCTATCAAACCTAAACCTTGAGATATTTGTCATAAAAACATAATCTTAACTCTGTCTGACATTTCTGTACTAGGCATATTCAATGAATAGTTAAATATACTGAAGCTTCATCCTTGATCGTTTGTCTATCATGTACAGCCTTGAAAAATGTCAACTTCTCTTTAATTTTATAATCAATCATGTTTCTTGGAAAAAGAGCAACCTCAGATTGCATCCCATGTGTTGGGTTTCATAAATGTGTAAAACACAGCCATCTGTCGCTGTCCCCCTGTGCTGGCTTTGACTTTGACATGTACCAAACTGTATCATTTCAACCAATAGGAAAATGGTGCTGCAGTAGCAATCCTTTAACCCAAAGGGGTCAACACTACAACAGTTTAAGGCCAATTAGTTTACAGTTTACATAAGTTTATAGTATAATAAATATAGAAAAATGGATAAAATTTATATAAAAAAATAATCACAGGATTATTTTGTATTTATGAATAAAAATATAAAAATAAATATTTCCCCAAATAATACGTGGAGCTTTAGCAATATTGGTAAATTGGTGGTCAGTAACCTACACTCCACAAAAAGATCATGCAATCACTATTTTTAAGGACTAGAAATATTTCACTTCTCACTTCTAAAGTTAGGGATGATAATTTTATCAATCAATAAAAAAAACATCAAACTTTATGAAAAAGAGAACAACTGTGATAATCTCCAAATTAATAGAAATAATAAACAAAGTGTGCAGTTGTGTGTTAATTGTGTAAGGGATAAATAAAAAAAAGAGTGAATAAAAAACATATTTGCAATTCTGTGATGGGAAAGCTGTTGGGTTCAGTTTATTTCACTAATTCCATCACAACAAATGTCCTCTTGTCACATTTGATCTCATAAAAGGTTGTATCCAGAAATAGATAATAAATTCAATGCAATACAGTCCATTCAAGCTACACGTTTCAGTGAATGGAGTACCTTAAAAATATGTTTGTCATGCTGATAGTTAAACATTTCTATGTGTAAGAAAGCCAAGCTGTATTTAGTAATTATTCCCCATGTGAAAGAATATGGTAATAGTAGGAAGAAACATCTCATTTTCAACGGGTAGAATGCTACAAATAAAACTGGTCAGTATGAGTTTTCATTTGCCTAGAACACCTGAGGTTTTTAAGAAGACATGAGACACTCACACACAATAACAAATGCAGTTGAGCATTTTCGAAGGTAAAGAGAATCTACTTGGTAAAAAGAGAGCGCCCGTGGCTACGACAGCAGTTTCTTCTAGTGCTGTGGCCAGGAAACCTACAGGGTTAAGCACAGAGAGGCTGGGCCAAGTGTATTATCTAAAGAGCAAGAGCATTACGTTGTGTCAGCTAGAGCTCAGTCAGTGGCCCCTTCCAGAAAAGATACATGGTTATACGTAGAGGAGTGAGGCCAGGTATGTCTCGGATTATGAGAAAAAAAAAACGGAGAGTGAACACAAGGTTAATGGCAGCAGTAATTGCAGATAATGCATATATGGAGAGTAGTCGGATAAAAGCAGAGTGAGAAAGAGTGGACAGTAGTCCTTCAGCTGCAAAACTGGATCAGTCCGTCTATGTGCCACTCTAACTACAAGCTTGATCAGAAAAAGGACATTCTTGTCTAAAAAGTTGACACAAGTTTCTCACAAAGACACAAATGGAAGAAATAACTAATTTTAATGTACCCTGTACAAAAAAAAAAAAAACTCTAGGAAAGAAAATCTATAATGGTGTTACTGTTTGTATTTTTTAAGAGTTGTCTGCAGAACACAATTATTAAACAAATTCTGAAATCAAAAATCTTTGAATAAAATATGAATATTTATTATTAAAATGTTTATAAGCATGCAATGGCGTAACGACACTACAATTGGCCCGTAAGCAACGTTATCCGGGTGGGCCCCATATAAAGTGCAACATTGTGCCCCTGCCGTAGACAACCGACCCAAAATGTTCCCCATACATACACTTCATCATTCTACTTACATATATATATACTTTAGTATATTCTGCTGTAAAATGAGTCTTATCGGGCTACCTTGAGTTTCACAGCCCCCTCCTCACCCACGCTCTCTCCATTAATCTCCTGGTTGCAATCTTTACTCACTGTAGCAGCAATGTCCACCTATTTTGGGAATTTTTTTCCGTTCTTCCAGCAGCTCTTCTTTGCTTTTTCTTTTCTGGAATCCCTTTAAGTACCTCTTTTGGGTATCCATCATCGCTAACACATTGTACTTAACGGTTATGGTTATAATCTACTTTCTGGATTACCCATAATTCCAAGTCTTATTTTAAAAAATAAAATACTGAAATACATCCTTCTTTTAAGATCTTTATTGTGGTTTGAAACATATTACATGAGTGTATTTTTTACCAGCCGGCTAATGAACTATACACAGTTATTGAAATAGTAATTAAAAGTACCACTGTCTGCTTTGCTATTGGTGTCGTGTTTAAACGGCTCACCATCATGTTGAAATCTGCCATGTGTTGGCGTATAAATACGGCCCAGTCAGTCAATCTAGTGCCAGGTGGGTTTAAAATGAACTTTTTGCACCCTTATCTGCAAAGAGACGTCCTAGTCCACAATTGCAATTGTGTAAGGGGCCACCCAGATGTCAGTGACAGGGCCCCTAAGAGGTCGGGGCCCCTAAGCAACTGCAGCCTGAGTTGCAGTCTTTATTCAAGAGAGACACTAAACTGAATCATGTTCTTATCAGACCTTAATGCAAATATTCCAAAAAAATAAATAGTAAAAAAAAACAAAAAAAAAACAGGTTCAATAGTATTAGTTTTAAACCTTATGGTATTTTAATAATTTATAGCTGTATAAATATTTATCTGATACAGGATGCCACAGTTTACTTTGAGATACGTACAGGAAAACTGTCCTTTATTTCAGTGCTATGAGCTCCTAATCCAATACTACCTTCTATGTTGGGGCATTTGGAGGCTTGGGGGCGCCGTCCACTACCCTCTCTGTGCAGGATTTAGTCCCCACCCTCTTCTTTACTCTATCTAATCACAGCAGCCTATAAAAAGACTCTCAGCCAACCAGAGGGCGCGGAGGAAATTAAATAAAAGTTTCAGTTTAGGAGTTTTGAAAACGCCAAGAAAAACAAAAAAGGAACCAAAAAAAAAAAATAAGCCACAACCGCGATGGTAGAGACATAAAAAGCAGGTTTCAATAATGAACGTGTGTTAGTGGTCTAATTGCCTTTCTTCCTGTATCCCTCTCTCTCTCTCTCCGCGCGCCTTCCTCTCTTAAAGCGGAGGAGAGCGGAGCGCGTGGCAGGTGTTCAGTAGCGCGAGACGCATCGCTCCAGACGGTCTCCTCAAAGCAAACAGGGCAAAAAAAAAAAAGAAAAGGCGGAGGAAAACTTGCTTCACTGAGGGAAACAACCAGTGAGTAAGAAAGGACGAGAATAATTCAAACGTATTTGAACTTTCCTCGGAAGCCGTTGAAGGAAACAAACAAAAAAAGCGACTCCACCGGCGTCGCAGCAGCGTTCAGACCCACTACTTTCTAACGCTTTGCGTTTTAAAACATTTAATTTGTGCGTAAACCTCCTATTCTTTCGTTGTGAGAAGAGTTACACTTAGTTATTTTGTCATTGAACCTGTTGTGTCTTCTGTTTTCCCTGAGTAATACGAGCTGCTGTCGCATCACGGCGCGACAAGTGAAATAGGAGAAAGGAGTCCCTCCTCTGGAAGAGTGGATATCATCTACTACTCGGGTTAAAGTCAGACTGCAAAAAAAAAAAAAAGAGAAAAATCAGAGTCGATCCTAGGATTAAAAAGAGCCGTTTCCCAATAAATTACGCAGGATAAATCCCGTGTTATTTACAGAATCAATTAGTAGATTGATGTTATTTTTTGGTTGGTTTTAGGAAGGGGATCATGGATGGATAGTTGGGGCGTTTTATCTCATCTCTGAACAGTTAAATGATCCACAGGACAATAAATCCTTAGCAAAAGGCATCAAAACAAGCTGGGATTTGAGGTCTGTTGCAGAGAATAAGCGGATAAACACACTTAAATGTATTAATTTTTCTGCTCATCAATCCAAAAAGGAAGCAAAAACAAATCAGACATGGTGGATTTCTCTGGATCGCAGTGAGAGATGACTGGATGAGATTAGTGTTGTGCCTTGGAAGTGTGTGATCGGAGCTCAAAGCGAGCGGGGAAACTCTTGGATCCTGATCTTCCCTTCCAGCCTGCGAAGCACCGAGGCTTCCCTCCTCCTCCTGCGCTCTGATTTCACCTCAGCGCAGAGCGGCACCAGCGATCCGCAGGTTTATCCACTGCTTTTACGCGCAAGGATGAAACCGGGAGGTATGCGTGAGAGATCCCGGAACCGGCGGATGAAGATGGGATCCAGGATCGGGACAGCCCGGACTGGAAGTCTGCCTCTTTGCCTGATGATCCTTTTCCTCTGCAACTGCCACATGTTGCACGGCCAAGGTAAGACAGCTGAGTTCCCAAGACATCCGAATCCATCAAAAGATAATTACCATCTCAGCAATGTTTCATTGAGTTAATAACATGTTAGAAAGCATCTATTAACAAACACATTCCTGAATATGATTCCATCATATTCAGCAATCCTTTATTCAAGGAAAAAAAGAATGATTCATTCAAATTAGAATGGGGGTGTGTTTTAGAAGAAGACAAATAAACAAAATTAGCAGCTATACATTCATCTTATTTTGGGGAGATTTTATGTGATTGTGCAGCGTTAGGTTTAACATTGTGAAGCTGTAGGAATAGTATGCTTTATTTTTGGTGATATTTGCTGCAGTTACAGCTACATGTCTCTGGGAATGTCTTTCCCTGACTTTGCAAATATCAAGTATTCTTTGCAAAATAGCTCTAACTGGTCCCCCTAGTTTTTCAACTGAATTTTGGACAGGGGTGGGTTAAATATAACAGCATGTTTTGATTGAAACCATCCCAGTATGCTTAGGGTCTATGTGCAGCTGGCAGGAGAATCTCAAGCAAGTTTTCCTCCCAGCAATTATGAAGAGTTTTCCTTTTTCCTTCTGAGGAAGATGCCACCCACAGCAAGATTCAGCCACCATAAGTGGGCATGTGTATGAAGGCTGCAGTGCATCTATGACATGAAATTACATTAAATTACACAAAGTTTTTTTTTTTTAATGTTGCAAAATGTATTTAACAAAATCAGTTGTTACAAATACTGTTGCAGAGAAATAAATAAGGTGAATGTGTGCAGGGGCGTCTCCAGAAATTTGTGTCAATGGTGGATATAGGCCACCGAAACGATGAGTCTTTGAAACATTTAGGGGTTTTATCAGGTAGGCTGTTATAGAAAAGAGCTTTAAGTGAAAGTAAAGGAAATGCTTTACTGTGTCTGTCACAAAATTAATCAATTAATTGTGAAACAAAAACATTGACAATAACCTTAGTCCAAAGCAACGATTTCATGATCTTTTAGTGTCTCCCTGTATAAACATTTTGACCCAGATATGTTTATTGTACCATTATTAGTTTAATTGAATAATTTTTGCATGAAAAAGTACATTTTAGGAATCATGCTTATCTAGTTAGTTGTAGGTCCTGTGTGAATTACAGAGATCCTGCTTCTGTTAACACTTCTGCATTACAAAGTTTTATTTACAGTCAACAGCCAATAACATGACCCAAGCTGAAATGTTAAAAATGATTTAATTTCTCTGACATGCTAGTTCTAGTCCACATGTTCTTTGAAACTCACCGACATGCGCATATAAAAAAAAAAAACACTCCCTGCTTAAAAAGGCACTATCTCAAAGATGGCAGCATTTACTAATACAAGCACAAAAAATTGGTTGGATTTCTAATAAGGATGCAAGTTTTTGATTAATGAGTTATTGTTAAGTTGGCAGATTTTATCGATTTTATAACAAATAATTGATGTGTCCGTTTTCTTAAAATCCCAAGCTTCTTCTTGTGTGAAGATTATCTTTCAATAACGCAAAGGGCTACATATATTTACAATATGCTGCAAACAGCACACCTGTGCACACCAGCCTCAGTGTGCCCCAGCTATGGCTTCAGTGTAGCTTGCCACCTTTAGTGTGTGTAGGTGTTTGAATGGGTGAATAGACTGCATATAGCGCAAAGCTGAGTCCCCTGACTTGAACGGGCGCTATGTAAGTACAGGCCATTAACCAATTACCTGCCCCTTCGGGTCAATGAAGTGGACAGTAAGTGTAAAACTGTTCTCTGGTTTTACTGTTATCCAACAACTGGTGGTGCTAGTGACACTTTGTGCTGTTAGCTGTGCTTCTAAACAGCTGATTGTGGTTAAGGCTCTCAGAGGACTTTTAAAACTTGGGTCAATTAATTGTATTAACTCACAAAAACCCTCACAATTTACTGTGCTTATTCATATAGTCTTTTTCTCAAAATCACAAATGCTTTGTTGTGAAACAGGGTTTAACTCAAACAAGGAGTTTGTTATGGTGATCAGGTGAACACTTAGACTAGCAAACTTACAGCTAACATGAATAAATACTCGGATATAGAAATGTAAAATGAACAGGCTAGCACTTCACTGCAGGAAAATAAAATAATAAAAATGTCTTGTGTTGCATAAGTACCTGCAGCATCCAAAACTGGATATGCATAATTGTGTTTTCCGTTTTTTATAAAAAAAAGTCTAATGTTCAAGGAAGTAAAATTAATTGAGTTCAGATTATTTCATTAAGACAGAAATCTGGTTAGAAATAAATCATGTAAAATTTTATGATCCTTCATCTTTACCAAGGATTGATATCGGATTCTAAACGAGGAATCGGATCGGAACCAAAAACTTTTTTAAGCGATTTTGGTTCCGATTCTACGCTGGTCATTTGAGTCGATTCCCGACCCAGTGTCTTTCTGCATGGAGTTTGCATGTTCTCTCCTGTGCATGTGTGAGTTCTCTCCGGGTACTCCGGCTTCCTCCTACAGTCCAAAAACATGACTGTTATGTTAATTTACTTCTCTTAATTCTCCTTAATTGTGAGTGTGTGTGTAAATGGTTGTTTTTCCTGTTTGTCTCTTCGTTGCCCTGCGATGGACTGGTAAACTCTCCAGGGTGTACCCTGCCTCTCGCCCATAGACCGCACCACCTCGAAAACCCCAGTTGGGATAAAGCGTGATGGAAAATGGATGGCTGATTCCGATCCTCTTGGCATGACAACTATCGGCCTTACTCTGCCTATTGGTGAACAGTGGTGCCCTCTTCTGCATGGTGAACACTGACTATCTGCTATCTAAGCAGATGTTATCAGTTTATTGAATCAAAGAAATATTAATATAATAAACCAGTATTGAACAATTAATTGTAAGTAAACTTTTATTTGTTTCCATACCTAATGTATACTGTTCGTGAACCTTACGACTACCTCTTTTTTCTTAAGATGGCATAATTTGACTGCGATAAACTGGCCACCTGTCCAGGGTGTAGCCCGCCTCTCGCCCGTAGACAGCTGGAGATAGGCACCAGCAACCCTCGCGACCCCAGTAGGGATAAGTGGGACAGAAAATGGGTGGATGGCATAATTTGAATTTGGCTTCTATAAAGACAGCCTTTAGAATACATCCCAGTCTCACTTGTTGTTTAGTCGACGCTCCTCACAAATGTGACGTTGTTTAGTTTCAAAGAATATAACAACCACCAGTGGCAGTTCATAGAAATTCCACTTTTTAACTTTTCCACTAGTGCAAATGCGCACAGAGATCGCAAGGAAAATGTCATGTTGGTGTTATTAGATAAAAAAAAAAAATCATGTAATCAGTTGTCATATATGGGGCTGAAGTGGATTTAATATGTAAAGGTTCCACATTTATGGCCCCCCTACTAACCCAATTTCCCAGCGGGTTCTTTCACTGGCTCTCCAAATAGTGTCTGGTCTCTGGTAATCCCGCTCTAATCAGCGACCTGCTTAATTTAGAGCAGCTGATTTGGCAGTGAAGCTTACAAATGCAGCAACAATTAAACACATGCAGACACAACATATTAATGTAAGCTACCTTCTATGCCAGTCCATAGCTGACCCTGCTGCTCTGGCAGGTGAAGGTATTAGTATGTAAGGCCTATGGCTACAGACTGTGGCAACTGTTGAGTATGACTACAGAGCAGAAGTCAAATATGATGAGATATTGATTTCTCACCAAAGCTGGAAATACTGAGCTGCCATGCTTCATATGTAAGTGTGTTGTTTTTTTTTTTTTCCCTTGCAGCTTTTGACGCATGCAAGCCTATAGGTTTCTGTGTATTTGTGCACGTACCCTGTGGGACTGTTTCAGAGTGGCAGAAACAAAAGCACAGAAAAGGTCAGGTTGGGTGTCGACGTACGCTTTTTTTGTGGGTCACAGATGGTGCGGTGGGGGTAGAGAGGGAAGCTGAGACTTTTTTTGGGGCTGTGCGGAGCAGAAAGTGTGGGGGGTGAGGAATGTCTGTGAAGGAGAAGTGGGGGTGTGCTGATTCTGGAAACCTGGAGAATTTGCGCCCTGTCTAAAGGAGACTGTGGATGTCTAGGAGGGAGAGAGTGATTGTGAGAGGTGGGAATGCGGTACACCATCGCTGTCACTCAGAAAGCTGTGCCTGCAGTTCAATCGATGATGATGATTATATGACAACACCTTAGTGTGTGTGTCAAAACTTGCTCTCTTCCTCCTCCTTTTCCCTCTTGTCACAGTTTGCCTGTATTCCCCCTGCTTGCTTCTTTCTCGTGTGGCTGCAGAGTCAGCTTCTTCAATCCTCCCATTAATGTCAAGGTCTCACCACCAGCACCCAAGTCCCCACGCCTCCCACTTTTCCCACTCTCAAATCCCCCCCCAACTCCTCCCAGCTGTCTTGGCTGAAAGGATTGTGGTTAGGAGCGTGGGTGGGGGGTTGAATTGAAAATTAGTGAAACAGATTTGGGACGAGGCAGGCCTGGGTGGAAGTTGGACTATCGATTTGATAAGGAGTGCCAAATGACCAATTGAAGGCTGTAGATTTTTCAGGTTCTGACTCCTCCATCACAAATTTATTAGGGCGCTTCATTTTAGTAGGAGAGAGATGAAATTCATGAGGCAAGGTTGATCCTCCTGATCCTCTCACCTCCCACCTACCCTTCTGCCTCTCTTGCTCCATCTACCCTTTTCTCACAGCCAATCGATGCCCACACCCCTCCTCATAAATGTGAGGGTTTATATGAGCCAACTCCTCGTCTCTGGGAGCACATTTAAATAAGCTCATCGATCTTTCATTTTAGAGTTAAGTGACGGCAGCATTTTGCTGTCTCCCTGCTGCCCCTTTTCCTCTCCACCACTCATCTGCTCACCTCTCCACCCTTTTCTTTATTCATACACCCCCCCCTCCCCCCACCACCACCACCATGCTGCCTGAATGCCACAGAGTGGGATCTGCTCCACAGCTGTTTGACTTATTCCCGTCTCCAGAACGGAATCAGACGGCACCATCCTGG